TAGTTTTGCCCTGTTTTTACCCACCCATATGGTGCACAAGGAGGTTCTAGTACACCTATAGTGGCCTGTTTTGTTTGTTATAGATCAAAAAAATTAGAATACATTTTCTCCTTTCTGAGAATTGAGAATTATGATATTACCAAAGTTAAAAACCAAAGTAGATAGATTTTCCATCTACCAAGATACAACTTTTTTGAATAGAGTAAAGGAATATACCATAAGTACCCTTATGATACACAATTGCAAATTTTAATTAAAAGGCCTTGGAAAAATTCCTGAATACAATGTTGGGGTTTTTCATGTTCTTTTTTTGCTAGCAGTTATTTTCTCCTCACATTGCTTCATAAATATATACCCCATCTTTCAATTTTCAACTGTTTTGATACACTAAAGTGTATTTATTAAAATTAATGATGACCACTTTCAGCATATAATTTTTCTATATACATTTATTGAAACAATTCCTTCTGTCTAACACCCTCAAGATGCAGAGAGCTAGGTTAAAGCTATAGTAGAATAACCCAGCACCCACTTGTGAAAAGATGATACAAAAAGGGCTGAAATAGTTTCATATTGAAAAGCTTGTGCCAGTGAAAAGTTTTATTATGAAAATTGGTAAACCTAAACCTAGTTTTTGAATCAACAAGATTGGCAGAACCAGGAAAAAATGTCAAAATGTTTTCTGACATTTCAGATCTAGTATGTCACTCAAAAATGATTCAATGAAACAAACTTTAGATTTAAAAAAAAAACAGAACAAAAAAGTCAGTTTTGAAATTTTGCAGAAAAATATGAAGCCTATTCAGTACAAACTAAAAGACAATCTTCCAATATCTTTGCCGAGTTTKTGGTAAATACCCTTTAACTAAAGACTTGAACTTGGGTAGGTCGAGGATCAGACATAAAAATGATTTCCAAAGTAAAAGAAGATATTTATCCTTCGTATCACAACATTTCATCATTGACTAAAGCTTTTATCCTTGGTCTCAGCGTTCCTCTAAACAAGCTCTTCGAAACAGGTGTCTCCTTGTCCACGAGTGCGTTTTATCACCAAGAACTTTATTTTTCAAGTACTAATAAAAGTTCTACATCTGAAGAATTCCAATGAAATAAATTATGTTAAAATCCAATATAGATTACAATTGTCCCAGTTGAGCAAGAAATAGTTGATTGTACTATTAATATGTCTAACTTCGAATATTTTATTACTTTGAAAGGGAAAATCTAGTACGGCCGAACTTCAAATACAATGGCCATTTGCATTTACTTACAACAGATATTAATGAGTAAAAATATCAAAATTTTAAGCTTATCTCTGTTGATCTGACCTTATTTTTGACTAAAACGTAAACATGACCTACATCAATTTGTTTCACAATTGTCGACTTTTGTACCAAAAAGTAATTTAGCGCATCTCGATAACCATCAGGTTGACCTCATTCTAAACATCACTGCCACCTTCTAAGTACTTTTTAAATTACACTATGACTGATCAATTAGATATTTTGGTTGCCAGTAAGCTGTAAAAATTTTTCAAAGTGGCTGCTTTTTGAAGCACGAATACTGCTATAGCGTCCGCCAATTTGTTTTTGGGATTTTCGCGCATGCGCACGCGTTTTTAAGCCGTGTCAGCCACCAATGTTTTGGTTTGGGTTGAATGTATGACGTCATACGTTACTCGTGCCAGTCTTCTTGAGCCGAATTCTTGTAGATTTGTCGACCTGAAACGGGATTGACTCAATTATTTTAAGGCGTTTTAAATATTCGAAAAATGTCTTTCTTTCTCGCGAATAAAGAACATTTTTTTGGGAAAACATAAATTCTAAGGAGCTTGATGTCAACAAGAGAATATGAAGTAAGAGAGCATATCCCTGTGACCCATGAAAGTTTCTTGAAAATCTAGTCTGAGCTATTTTAGCATGCGAATCTTGATTGGTTAGAGTTGTAGTGATGTCATAGACAGAAGAGATCGGCAGTGACAAAGCAAGCTTCACGCAGTTGACAAACCAAACTTTATTTAATTTGACGAGAAAATGTGTTTAGAGGAATTCCTTGAGAAATTCTGAAAGGTTTTTGAAAGAATCCATAAACAGCATATGTAAAAAATA